AATGCTTTGTGAGTTGATTGTTTTGACTTTCTGACATTTTCATTAATTGTCATGTAGGAGGTGAAACTTGTGTCATTGCCTCCGATTCTGTGTGTCCACTTGAAAAGATTCAGAAACGATGATGGCTTCACCAAGAAACTCTACGACAAAGTCACCTTCCCTGAAACGTTTAGCACTGCCATTTTTGCTGCAGGACAATCAGAAAATGTATGTTTAGTAGATATTTAGTAAAGTACTCTGCAGCCAAAATTGTATTGCCATATATGCTTGATTTGTTGTATGCTTGTTTTAGGCTGATTGTCTCAAGGCTGATGAGCATTACAGTCTCTATGCAGTAGTAGTGCATATGGGAAGTACCATGTCTGGTCACTACACTGCTTTCATCAGTTCAAATCAGGACTGGTATTACGCTGATGACAGCTGCGTGCAACCAGTAAGAAATAGTGACAGCCTGATTTAACTAGTATCTGAAATAGTTAAGAGTGTTATGTAACTGATACTTATATGCAATTGTTTTGTTTATCCTAGTCCACATGGGAAAAGGTGCAGGGCACATATGGAGGGTACCGTCAGCGCAGTGGGTACGTTAAACATCAATAACCATAAACTTGTATAGCTTCTCACAGCCACTTCAAAGGAAAGCAAAATACAAATGCAGACCTTTTAAATAATTACTTCCAAGACATCTTCCAGGTTTTAATTATAATTTTGCATGCTGTTTTTAGAGAGACAGCCTACCTGCTTCTGTATAGGAAGAAGAGCTGGAATTCATCTGGATAACTGTTGGGAACATGCACTGCAGCACTTGATGAACACTAGATGAATTAATGCAGAGAATATTCCAAGAACAGGACTGAAGTCTATTTATATTTTGGGTATAATATGAAGAGGGGTGTTTAAGAATGTAAATCAGTATATGTTGATTGGGGTTTATATAGGACAGTATTTTGGATAGGATTATGCTATTTTGCCAGTGCATATTTTGTGGAGTTTATGGATATTGTTAAATAAAATGATAACAATATGTTTTGAAATAAGGTTGTTGGTGATCTCAAGTTATTGCTGTAAAGCTCTTATATAAAAATACTGTGCGAAAAGACATTGTTTTCTCCAGTTAAAACACATCTAAGGTTCACAGCCCACATAGTTGACTGGTTCAAAACTACAGTGAGACTTTTATTTTGAAAGAAAAAAATGCAAAGACGGAACCTGGCTTTTATTTTGGAAAGCGTCCATATCATGGCATTTCCCCCGCACGTCCTGGTAAACACCTCTGTTGTGATCTTGTAGGTGAGCAAACATTGTCATAAACCATATTTCTTACAGAAAACTTTACTACCCAGCTGAAGATGACTTTATCCATTCAATAAATCGGCTTTTAGCACCTAAATAAACTATAAAGTATGACAATACAAAATAAGGAGAATTATATTCAAGGATAATTTTAGTGTTAATTGGGTGTTGCATGCTACTGAATACAATAGGCATTAAATTGTGGTGTATTATAGTTTGTTCTCTGTCTGTTTTAGGTTATGTATTCCTGCCAAGATTCTGTATTCGCTATCTCAGGATAAAGAGAGATAAGTTCAAATGAGTAATCCACTGAGAGGAGAAGTTATTAGATTGTACAAAAATGTAAGCATCATTTTTCTGTCAGTTTATTTTTTGATCTGTTCTTTTCATATGAAATGTTGTCCAGTGGTACTTCCTTTGTGTCATCCTTTATTGGACATAACATTGCATGGCAGCAGAGTCACAAAATAAAGAAGAAATGTAAAATTGTACTGATGACTATCCATTGCTTGGGCAATGCATTTCTTTTCTACAGCTTCTGTATCTTGGGCGGGAATATCCAAAAGGCACTACATACTTCAGGGAGCGTCTGAAAGCAGCTTTCATGAAGAACAAAGATGTCACAGATCCTGAGAAAATCAAAAAGCTGGTTGACCGTGGAGAGTTTGTGATCAAAGAACTCGAGGCGCTTTACTTCCTCAGGAAATACAGAGCGATGAAGAGGCGCTACTACGAACCAGAGCATTAATCGATGTTTCTGCCAGACTGTATATGTGTCAAAAGGGAAATCACTACTTTCTGCACGTTTTTGAATGTCTGTGTTTGATGTGTTGCACTACAACAGATTTGGACATGAACTTTTATTTTTACTACTTCTAAGTCCTTGTTCGATATACAATAGGCAGTTATTTGTAATGACAATTACATATGTATTTATATTTAAATACATTTCAGTTTTATGATGTTCTAAGCAGGTCTTTGTGTAGACAGCTCTACATCACAGAAAGCAAAGTTGGTTTTTCCAAAGGATTTCTCCAGCTCCTGCACCAGGTCAAAATTTCCTGCGCTACTGGAAACCTTTTAGTGCAAATAAATGAAAATGATCAGATAGATGGGAGTAGTGTGAGTATGTCTGTCCATTTATACATATGTATTTATATATATGCATTAAAGAATATGCTCACTTTTGCTTTGAGTACATTGTAGGCTTTGTAGAAGGTGAGGTCTTCTTTTGATAGTGTAAGCCCAGACTGCACTTTCATCTGTCTGCCGCCTTGGAGACAAATTTAGAAAACATCAGTTACTTTGAACAACGACAGCAGGGTGCTTCACCTATATCCGAAAGTCTCGTACCTGAAAGTATGCTGACAATAAAACCCACGGTGATGACCGTCACAGTCCCCAGTGGGCCGAAGTACAGGTATGAGAGTGAGTACCAGTTATCAGCCAGGAAAGGCCTGTTAGGAAATAGATATGGTTATGTAACAGCCAATAGATTTTGACTCAACTGATTTTTGCAACTCACCTTTGCTCTTTCAGTATGAAGTCGTCTATGTTTGCAGTCCAGTTAGTGCCACCTGAGGAGTTACAGCCGTGTGTCATCAGAACCAGCGGTCTGCTGTTCTCTGGTAGTGGAGGGTATATCTGTGCCCCGATGCACACCCACAGTAACAGAGCCAAACCAGACACCAGCCCTGCCAAACCTCCCTAAAACATCCACACTTTTAAAGGAATAGTTTGAACAAAATCGCTGAAATTTTACTCCCATTCAGGCCATCCAAGATGTAGATGAGTTTGTTTCTTCATCAGAAC